AATCCGATTATTTCACTACTGATGAAATATTTACCATAGAAGTATATCAGAACAAAAATATGTTAATCACAATTAATTACAATTGAAAATATGAATTTACAGAACAATAACAAAGTTAACAAATTGAATCAGTGACCTTCTTCGATCAATTTTCGAAACGGCTCAATGATCAACTGCATAGCGTCTTCATTGTTCAGCGGCAGAATGAAAGTTACTCCTTTCTGTTGCTTCAAATCTTGAACAATTCTTCTCAGCATCGCTGTCCCGGCTTGCAATTCGTCTGCACTGTACGGAATCCGATTCAGACCATTTATATCTTCTCCGGTAACGGACCGTGACAATGGGGTATAGTGTAGTTCACTTCGTTCACCATCATCTCGCGATGACAGCGATCTTATCTGCACATTTCGGTTCACTTCAAACTATGAATATAGCATTGGTTAGCACACATTCATGCTAATATCTGACTGTGAATGCATTCATCTTTAAGAATTTCAGCGAATGTCATGAAAGTTTCCCGTATTCCCAAAATAGTTTCGCGACTCAATCGCTTGAAAATGCCTTTTTCTCTTTAGAAATTCGTTAGAAATTATTTGAATATCTTGGATACCGATTTCGAGATCTACTTTCTGTCATATAATTTATTCGAAGATTCACCGAAGCGAATCGTTGCCTGTGAGGAAATCGGCTTGGAACAACTGCTGCAACAGAACAGAAGGACAACTGTGTAGGCTGGAAACAAATTGAATTCCGCGAAAGTTTGACGATAATTGAAGGAAGGCAATTCTCGCAAAACAGTTGCGATTTCAAGAACATCCGAGCAAATCGCCTTGATAACATACTGCAAATTTTCAAAATAGAAGTAATTTCACTCAAGATTGGTAAGCAAAACCACTGTCACGAACGTATGGGCTACAAGCCACTATCTAGATGACACTGATAGATATTTGAATCTATTCGAAGAGATTTGAATAATCCTGAATGATTAGGTTTCAAGATGTCGAATATAGCAAACGTTTAAGTGAACCTGAAGTGAAACGTGGAAAATTTCGAGCGATGAGCGATTTGAAAAAAGATGAGCTATCTCAAATTTTGTGGTCTCGAATCAATTCAGATTCGGTCTCGCCTAGGACAATTTATGCATCCAATCTATAGGAACCAGAATCTTTAAGAATTATTTATTGCACGGAAATTCGGAAGCTGCAGAAAAATTGTGCAGAAAAGCAGAAAACTTCTTCAAGCAACTGGACTTTCGCAGATAGGTGAACACCACTTTAGTTTGAGTGGAAAACGGGAATTTAAGAAATTAAGAAATCAGCAAGTATTCAATTGCAAATACATATAAATGAATATTTTCAGAGAATCAACTCCAATGGCAATAATACTTTATTGATAACGATAATTTATTACAATGAAATCCTAAACATCAACTTAATGATGCTAACGATCACAATACTCATAACAATACAAATGACAATACGAATGGAAATTCTCACACTTACAACTTCCATATTAAAGAAATCTTTTTAAAGAATCACCCATTACATTGGATATTCCGTAATCAAAAACAACAACAACAACACAACGACATTCAAAACGACCATTACTTTTCTCAAACACCATGAATGAAAAAACTCTCAGAAATGGCAAATTTTCTACAGAAATATCATTTAAAATGAAAAGTT